TTCAGAAATTAGAAGAACGGCAAGAAGTTATAACAGAAAGTGTTAGGAATTCGGAAAGAAACCTAATAGAATTTATAGACAGTAAAATAAATAAATTCACGAGCGAGTTAAACAAAAATACTGAGGCGAAAGAAGAGGTCAGCCTAGAACACCAATCAGAAGGTAATGAAAAAGTTGACAAGCTAGAAGAGAATTTGGGTGAAATCATCACCAAAAATAATGATCAGAAGACTCTCAATCCTACAAATCAAACAAGTGTCATTGAAAATGTTCAAGGTCAAGAGAATGAATGTCTTGAATCTGAACAGGAACCTAATGAAGTTAGTGAAGTGGATGAACCTATATTAGCCGAACCCTCCTTAGGCGAGAATAGAAAGATTAAAGATGAATATATAGGCCCCCTAGCTTCAGTCGAACTCTCCAGAACAGAAAAGACTTCTCCAAAAGTAGAAGGAATTATAGAGGCCCAACAAGAAAACGAAACCTCTACATTAGATCTTGAATCAGAAAATCTCAGTATAAAAGAAATCGGTGAAAAAGAGGAAGGAATTATAGAAGTCCAGGAGGAAACCTTGAAAGGTTTTGTATTAGGTTCCATAAGGATCAGAGAATTCTTTTTCCAGGTCGATAAGGAGACCCACGAGATCCTAGAAATTAAAGAAGACTATGTAGGCCCCCCAGCTTTAGTCGAACCATCCATATCAGCACGGACGTCTCCGAAAATAGAAGGGTTGAACGAAAAAAGATCATTACCATCAGAAACCAAGACAATTCCCATTTGTATTAAAGAAGAGGAGGGATATAAGGATTATAATTATAGGCATGCAGAATTAGAGACAATCCTCATTTGTAGTTTAGAAGATGAGGTATATAACGGTTATATGGCTCTGAACCATGTTAGGGCAGGCCGGTTAAGATCTTATTTTAAGCCGCGGTAGTCTTTGTCCCATTCCAGAGGGCAAAAAGGGGTTTTTTAGCGTCCCTTCCGTTGACGAGCTAATGGGTCCTGGCGAAACCATCGTCAGGTTACCCATTCTGGATAAGTGTAAATAAACTGTATATAGTTAGTTGTAAATATAATTTTGTAAATAGGGTGATAGGACTTGAATGACAAATTTCGAGGGCTGAATGGAAGGAATCTCAGGCTAAATCGACCAAAGTAAATTTAATTGAAGTATTCATACTATTTTATGATAATAGTTGAATTAAAGTAGAGTTAAAACCTTTTTAATAATAGATTTGTGTTACTAAACTTTTATAGAAAAGAAAAAGGGAAGGACCAAAAATAAATCATTATTAAATAAAGGGATAAAACTTTTCATTTTAATTTAAATGTGCAGTGGGCCAGATTGATAGGAGTAAGATCTAGTTAAAATTATATTGCCGTAGTTCAAAGTTAGCGCAGACGAGCACCCCAAATTAACTTCTTAAGAAAAATTGGACCATTTTGTTTTTAATCCTGATAGGATTTAGTTTAAAGGAATAGGGAATAGTTACCCTTAACTAGGAGTAGACATAGGTCCTCCTCATCACCCGCAGGGTTGATAAATTTTATATAAGGGAGAATCCTTTTGATGGAATAGCTGTAGTGCATCCATTCATCACTAAGTGTGATTGATAATAAATAATTAGGAGAAGATAAAGAAATCTTCTATAACTATACCTTCAGAGTACTGAGGTAGTATGTGTATGGATCCAGAAGTTAAAAATTTAAAAATTATAATGCTAAATGGGGCTGAAGTAATATAGTTCATCATTATGATGTGCACACGACTACATTTGAGGCAAATTTAACGGTTTATAGCGGCCACGTGTAAGAAATGGATGATTCATTCATAATTAAATCATAATTGAAAATCATAAGATAGGAATTTTAATATTCATTGAATAGAGTTTGTAGAATAAAGAAAACGAAGTCGCCTGAGGTTCATTCAACATTTCAGCAAAATATAAAATAAGTACCCGATAGTGACATTAAAATGTTTTTCACGAACATTTGCCAGCCCATTGTTTAAAAACAAGTTATGACTTCTCCTTTTGGAGGGCTAGAGGTATACATGATTTAAAAATTTGTGAATGAAAATGAAAGGACTGTTGTAAATGATGAGAATGCTATGAGCTTCTAGACCAAGGATATGATATAAAAGTTTAAAGGTAAAAGATGGTACAAACCACTGAGAAACTAAAGGTAGAGTTTTTGTTTTTATTATAACGGTTGCCACACAAGGTAGTAGTGATACCGAATAAATATTATGTCATTGTTGTATTATGTGTGTGAATATAGTTGCCTAAGAAGATTCTTTTTTGAGAGTATAAATAAGAATCATAGAAATAGTGTAAATATAAAGTGAATGTTAGATATTCAAGGCAATCACACTGTAAAATGTTGTTTGAATGATATTTCAGTAAACAAGGAAGAAACATTGTTGAATGAAAGGTTCAACATTATTGTAATTAACATCATAATGTATATTTATGTTTTGTTTTGTGTTCCACTAAACAGAGAGATAAACTATAAAGAACTACGAGTAGTGGTATTGATATATTGCAGAATTGAGAAATTTGAGATATGTAAGTAAAATTGAATTACTGGTTGTGTAAAAGCATATTTTTCAGTATTTCTAGTAGTTAATGTATACATTTGTGTCAAATATACACAAATCTCATCCTATATTGTTCATAAATAAATTTTTACTTTTCATTCTGAGATCAGATAGAGGAAGCCTATTGTAAAGGTATTGATGAATAATATCTAAAGAAAAAATCAAATAAACAAGTTTATTATTTTTTTCTTTTCCCCAAGACTAGGAGAATGCTATGTATTGTAAAGACCGCCGGTGGAATAATTATTTTAAATGTATAAATAAACATCATAAGTGTTCACATCTGGTGGTACCTGACTGAGGGTAACGACCCACAAGCCCAACCTTTTGTAAGTGGTAATAAAAACCTTTAAGAACCACCGACAAAGACCGACAACTGAGTGTTTAAACAGGATCCCGAAAAACCTTTTCACACCTTCCACCAGAAATATGGAAATCTGTACCTGCTGCTTTACATTGGCCTGGGGGAGAGGGCGTGGTCATCCCTTAGGCTGAGAATATTCAGCCAATCAGGAAAAAGACTACCAAAAGAGAGGGGGATGAAAAAAGGTGGGAAATAGAGAATTGGGACTGAACACTTCTTTTTGGAACTCAGAGGAGGAGACTTCTCTTTGGGACTGAGCGGAGGAGACTTCAAGCGGGGGAGTCGAGGGAGGAAGACGAAGACAGAGCAGATGGACGGACTAGACGCTGAAGGAGAGCAGAGACAGGGAATCCAGATATGACGGCTAGAAACACCTAGAAACACTATGAAGGACCAGCTAAGTGGTAACAAGCATTTAGTTATACTAATTTAAATTTGTGTTGGCAACCATAAAGCATTAATTAATATAATAAATATAACACATATAACTTTAATCAAATATCAAGCATTCTCCTATCGTATGATTCTCAACTATTCATTATGTATATAGATTTAGTTATTATTTTGTATATAGATGTTTTTGGTTTTATTTAAGCTTGTAAATATAATAGTTAGTAAACCAACGTAGTACTTTTACCATCTACCTTGCATGCCACCAGTTAGATATAGAACAAATAGTAAATTTAAAAACATGATACCTTTAGAAAGGAAATCCAATAAGAAGTATATGGTTCAATCTAGGATACTACAGTAGGGGGTCTGTGGTATCTAACATTTCAATACAAATATAAGTATTAAATACATTTTAATACAAATAAATGCGATTCGTGGAACCCCTTACTCGCCGTAGAAACGCGAGGCCAGGAACATAGCAATACATACTTATATTATGATTAATATTTTTATTCTTAAAATATTGTCCTACGTATCTTTTCAATCCATTACAATTGTCTTTATTAGAAATATTATTTGGCTAACCATTGTATACCTTCTATCAAATTATGTTATATTTATATTGATTGTCTTGCTCATGTTCATTTCATTACTAGCCAATAGTCACAATTCTGTAACCATAAGAAACATAGCAAATCTTGTACACATCTTGAATATTTTGTAAACAAGTTATTTACATTCTCCAAACATAAACCTCCCTCTCCCTCTCTCACTTTGTTTACCTACCTTTTTCTAACTGAAAAAGGACAACTGAGAAATGCTCCCCCGATCTTTCCACTGACCTACCAAATGTGGCAGTACTTGAAAGCCTTCAGTGCTCGAACAACGGTTAGTAACAGAAAATATTACAAATTTTTAAAAATGGATTATATACATTATTTTTAGTTTGTATAACTTTTTAACATATTTCATTTTTAATATTGTGTATTGTAATAATAGTTAAGATTCATGTACCATCAAGCACTATATTTTTATCATTTACCATTATCGGTCATATAATATTATATCTCTGATTGTATTTTAAAATTTTAAGCCCTGATGATGATCCACATGTATGGGTTGAAACGTTGGCACAAATAATTTTTTTTGATAATGACTCCGTTTTAAATATTTACAACCTATTAAATTCTTAGTGCGACATTCGATAATAAACTCCAATTCGATCAGCAGGTCAATTCAAAATTATAAACCGCCCGAAAAATAACGTCTAAAACGTTTCCATATTTCAATAAAATTTCAATATACTTATCTCAAAACAAATTTCAACAAATGTAGATATGTAAATAAACCATTCTAAACATACACATATTTTTATTACTTAATTGTTTTATTAAGAGAAGCCACTTTATAGATGCTGTGTGTGCCCCAGGATGGTCTCCTGAACGCTGGGTCGATCCACAGCTGTTAAAAAATTAGTTGGACTCGACCTTGGACCTTGAGCTATGGAAGACAGTGCTCACCCACTGTCGAGCTACGCCGCTCCCTACATACTACTAAAGAATAATTGAGAATAAGGTTACCTAAGCTGAAATTTATATTTATGGAGCATTTCATGTGCCAGAGGTGGTTTATTGATATTCATGAGTTGGATCCGACATACCTTATTGATTAAAGGTTAACAATTTAATTACATTTTTTGTTTTAAGGCTTGTCAACACTAGCCTTGTTTTGTCAAAATATTTACATCGATAGTCATTGTTATATGTAAAGTGATAAAAATGATACTAGACCTCCGTATTTTTTACTCTGAGTTTTTTCTACTCAAATGAGAGTAAACGCTTTTCCCTCCACAAGTGAGGACAAGTCTGGTTCGGAGTTCCCATGGCCGATTGTAAATAGTGTAAATAGGTATGCCTCCGTCTAAGATTTTATTTACATTAGTTTTTTTTTAAAGAACATTTTAATTCTATTTTATTCATTTATTTTAATTTTATTATTACTATTATTTATATTTTCCTCCTTTATTATGATAATTTTATTTTGATCTTGCTTCGATGTATATTATTTTGAAGTTACCTTAATTATATTTTGATTTTGTAAATATGGTGTGAATGTGCTCTCTGAATTCTTTATAAATGTCCTTTATAGAGAGATTGTAATATTTATCAATAAACAAGTAATCCAGAAAAATGAGAGTAACGTATATTAAGAGCGTTGATATGCCAATCAATGGTGGTTAGCCTACAATGCTACACTTATAAAAATATGATAGTATTGTATATAAGTTAAAATATAAGTTGAGATAGTATTGTATTTTGAGCTTACCGAAGCAGCGGTTGGTCCTGTAGGCTGCCCTCTTCTGGTTGCATATCTGGCAGAGGAGAGGCCTGTCGTCGTGGAGCCAGGAGGCGAGGCAGCCGCCATGGATGTGGTGGCCGTTCTCGCAGACGCGGTGGATCCCGTCGGACCTGACGAGGCCGCAGAGGCCGCAGACGGGGTGCCGCAGATCCCGGTTGGGATTGGTGAACCGGCTATTCAGGCGCGGGCCGCGCTTTCGCACCCGCTTCCCGCCTCCACAGCTCATCTCGCCGCTCTAGAGGGTGTAACCCAAACATCTTTTTTATAAAGGACTCCTTGTCTTGTCACCGAGGATTTATCCTTCACAATGACTAATTGTACCGCCTCTACATTTGTCAGCCTCAGGTTTTCCTTTTTTTCGTTAAAGTCTCAGTCTATCGTCTTTCCTTCATCAATCTCAATTACGCTTTTTTTTTTTTTTTTTTTTTGCTTTTCCCCCACCGCACTTTCTTTCTTTTTCTCAACCACCCGTCATTAACGGCTGCCGTGCGGCAGTCAAACCGCCATTGTTTTACAAATTGTTTCCTAATAATATGAATTACAAATGTCATATTTAAAGAAACAATCATAGTTTAAAAAAAAAATGGATAGTTAAAAAAAAAGGAGGATGTTTGATTATTTTGAAACTTCATTTGAATTTAAGTGCAAATTGCTCAGACATGCTTTTATCAAATAAGTAAATAATTATTCATTATAATCTCATTAATATTAATACATTTATATCACGTTTAGCCGAAGTATAGAAATTCCAGATTTTTTTAAATTAATCTAATTAATTTTTTTAAATCAGAGGAAAGATTTTTTTAAATGACTAGGAAAGCCTCCCATTTCCCGCTCAACAGCGGGTAATCCCCATTCTACAAATTATACAACTGTTCATTTAATTGTAGGAATCTTCGCTCAGTATTACCTCAACTTAAATGCATTCTGTAGTTCATGTTGTATTATTTTTTATAAACATAAAAAAAAGTGTAACAACATAAGAGAAATATTTCTGGTACAAATTTTTAGTCTGAAATCTTTATTTTGTATTAGGAGAGTAGTTGGTAACAGGAGCTCAACACGTATGTAATTAAGAAACAGCTGTATAATTTGTAAAATAATGGCCGAGCTAAAACTATTTCCTACTATTCTAATAATAAAATAAAATATGAAAGTCATTAAACCCTTTTTTATATAATAGGGAGAAAATAATATAGTCAGTGGCACAGGCGCCTTTTTATCAAATTATTAACATCCGGATGAAACTTCGTAAAAAGCTTCATCTCATGGTAACCTATAAATATTTTATTTACTAAAATTCTCTAAATCGAAAATCTCTAATTAGACTACGTGTCCATTTTTTTTTACCAACATCACCAAAAAATGTTTCAATGAGGTCTTGATTTTCCTTTGTAAGAATGTTTATATCTGGGCTTACCATGAAAAATGAGAACTCTACGTAGACTTATTTAACTTAAATAAAGTAACATTGACAGAAAAAAAAATACTGAGTTAAAGTTCTTTTTTCCAAATATATTCCGAATACCTGAGCACAGGTAAACTACCACCTATAGTTATATTACTTTTAGCACGATCTATTTTCATATTACGAGTTCCAGATTAAATCTAACTGGAGATTGAGAATCACCTTTAAAAAAAAGTTAGGGCCAGGAAAAACGGCAAATAAGAAGTGGAAGGGGTGATGTAGCAGATACCAGGCAGGTCCTTAGATTGCCGATCCCTGGAATGGGATCCAAGGATTAACTGAAAGATGGAGGCTAATGAGTTTTTGGGTTGGCCCTATAATCTACTGTCAGTGAGTTATCCAAAACCCTTCTCCGCCATCGCTAATCTATATTACATAGGCAAATTAATTTCTTAAACTCGACCTTTACTAGGAGCTGTTCCACCTTTGGCTCATCCTAGCTCAGATTTATTATTCAATTATTAAGTGAATGCATTTGGAAAAGAAAAATATTAATTTTAAAGTTTATAAATGTATTTTAATCAGATTAATACTTTACGAGAAATGATACAAAAATAAATCATATAGACATAAAAATTATGCTGCCAAAAGTTCCATTAAAATAGTTGAACGTCATTCATAATAAAAATTAAAATGAAACATATTTCTTTCATATATCGAACGATAGGTAACCGTTCCCATTTCAGAATTATAGTACATACGCTACTAAATACAAATCTCGTTGTACATATTGGGTCGATTATTGCACGTTGTGTAATAATGTAGATGAACGTAAACGAGTAAAACTCACTAGGCAGGACGCTTACTTGTCCACTCCGGTATGCCTCGGCCAGAATTTAAAAATGTGGTGTGTCCACTCACACGACCTATTTCAGAAAATTTTTTGTATCTTTACAAATGGCCATCAAGAAACAAAAAAAAAATTGAATTAGATTTATTTTCCTGAAAATTGATCAACTAAAAGATTTGAATACGATTTATTTGATAAACTAAAGCAATGTATGCCGGCTTAAGGAAGATCAGTGTAAACATTTCAATACCCTCTAATGCCGCTGATCAAGAACTTTTTGCCATAGCCTAATTTTGTCAAACAGTAATTTCTGTTAAAAGCAGAGAAAATAGTGAAACTTGTGTGATGCGGTCAACAGATTTTCTTACTTTCACTTATTTATCTTTTTTTCTCTCATTCCTTCCTTTCTGACATCAGAATATGCACCCGTAATCTTACCTTGGAAATTGAATAGTTATAACTTCATTAATAGTTGTCCGAAATGAACGATTTTTATATAGTTTTCATGGTAATTTAATTACTTTTCAAAAGTTTTCATATAAATTTCACCATAGAATATATACTTACATAGTTAGACCCCACAAAATTTTTCTATTCTTTATAACTTTTTTTTCCTGTTTTTTTTTTATCTGGAATTTAGTCCGTGTACGAAAATTGAGAGGACAATTAGAGGAAAGTTTCATCGAAATCGTTACAGTAGTTTCCGCACTACAGTCTATATAACAAGATGTTTTTCATTTATTGCGCATGGAGTACCCAATTTGTGTTACAGGCATCGGTAATCAAAACCCTACAAAATGAAAAAAAGAAGAAACAAAATCTGTTCACTAGTTCCCCAAAAAATCTTGGCACAGATAGACGGAGAGATAATGGATAAATATGTATTTATCGTGCTCGGGGGGTTCTGAAACGTATAGAACCTCGAATACAGCATATCGGCAACTTGAACCTGCCCGGATTCCGCCATTTTACTACAAATGAGGACTAAAGCCGATACCGTACAGAAATCGTATTCTCGATATTTCTGTTTACAACACGATAAATCTGTTATTTTTGGACAGATTTCGTTATTTCTTCACTTTACACTATCACTAATGTTGGTGAAACATAATCTATGTAACGAATATCTATTTATTAATTAATCACAAATAATATTCAATGATATTTACTTTTACAAAAGACCGGAGCAGAACTATAAGTAAGGGCGTTTTTAGCCGGACCGGAACAGAGAAATCCGTAGCGGACCAAGCGAGCGCCTTGCTTAAGAGACAGGAATCGATGTTAGTTTGTAATTAGAAAATTTCCAAAGAAACAGCTTTTGTGTCATTAAAGTCAAAGTAAAGAATAAAATAGTCCATAAACTTTTCGCCAATCAAGCATCATCATGCGATGCCTTCCCCTCGCCCCCCTAATAAAAATATTGAGAGGATGAGAATATCATTTCGCCCGCTCTCCAATAATTTGAAGTAAAAAAAAAATTAAAATTGATAGCAAATAAGTTACATGAATAAATAAAAAATATAAACTAAAATCGATTAAGAAAATAAGCTAAAGCCTATAAGTAGACACATAACTATATTATCACGGCCTATATATTCTTATTATTTATATTTTTATTTATTTTTAGGGATGATTCACCTCTCATGTGGACGCTTTCATTTTCATATGATATTTTCCTAAATGTTTTTCTGATAAAGTTAGGATATGTATATCTATATCTATATCTATATATATATATATATATATATATATATATATATATATATATATATATATAAATTTTATTGAAGAAAAATAATGCAATCTGCCACACTCTAGGGCATTGAGCATTATGGCTCTATGTTTACATCCATACGTTTTAAACACAATTTAAGATATAAATTGAAAAAATAAAATAAAATAAGAAGAAAACATGTAAGTACAAATATATATATGTATATATATTGTTACTTACATGTTTTCTTCTTATTTTATTCTTTTCTGAATATATATTTTAAATTATATTTAAAATGTATGAATGCAAACATAGATCCATAATGCTCAATGCCCGTGATTGTGGCAGATTCTATTATTCTTATTCAATAAAATTAATAAATTTCAAGATTTAGTATAATTTATTTGTTATCGGCTTGATCGTTTTCGGGTTTCTCCTTACTTTAGGTTCAGTCATTAAATGAGTTACGATTATAAGACCACAATATTTACATATTTAAAGATGTATTATTTAAAATACTAATGAAATTGAACAGAATATCCACATAGCGGAAAATCAAACTTGTATTTCCTAACCCGTCTAGTGTAGTATAATGAGTTATGCAGGTTTTTTGAATCGGGATGGTATCGTTTCTAAATAAATTGTGAATAATTTTCACTAAATGGTGGGTACATAAAGTAGATCTTAATCAAGAACTGAAACTTTCGAATCCATGGGTGCCAATCCGACCGTAGTACTAGGAGAATCGAACGAAATTTGTACGATAAACTTTTGTGTAGAGACTAAAGTTCGGAATTCAAATCGATGGTGTAACGGTCTAAGGAATATAGATGTAATTCTACTCCACTAGAGAGAATCCAAATGCATTTTATTGGTGGCATACGATATAATGAGATGGATCAAAAAAAAAAAATGGCAGCAAATCGGTAGATAATGACCGCTATATTTAAATGAAATATAGGCCATACTTATTCAGCTATACAAAGTTATTTTAAAAAAAAACATTATTTTAAAAATATTTCAGTCATGAAGTCTCTGACAATTTAAAGGTTTAATCAATTTTTTGTTTATTGAAATTTACAACTATATTAAATAGATACAAATCAGGAATACTGTCATGAACAGACTATAATCATATTAAATTGGATTCCATAATTAGTAATAGTCGCATCCTAATAAACTCAGACTTGATAGGACAGATTTCCTTTGACAGTTTCAGTGAAGTAGGAACCCGTAGAGTTTCGGAGTTTATTTAGTTACCTAGACAACAGTGAGATAAAAAGTAGGTGGTTGGAA